GAGTGTGTGTTTATATTTCTCATGTTTGTTGGCGTATGTGTTAGTACGTATAATATATATCTATTTATGATATGCATGTATCATTATACTGAAGTCTACGATCCCAATAATAGTCTTTATCTTGGCAGTTGCAATCCGGACCTTATTATATTCTAGTGCCCGCTGATAATGTTTGTTTGTAGCAGGAGTATTTGTGCGTCATGTTGGCACGATATAGTAGAGACATAGAGTTTCGATGCCTTCAAAGTGGGACTGATTCCACTTCGCCTTTGGATTTTTTGAATATGAGGTGCGTGTGCTTCGTTTTTTCTATATGGTTCATGGCTTGATGCTAGAATTGAAGTGTGTGTTTATGAACTTTCTTATCTACAGGTGAAGACTATAAAGGGCATGCGCTGGTGACATTCTCTGCGTGCCGACTTCCCGAGTCCAGTACTATTGATCATGACAAAGTTCTCAGGTTTGTGTCATTTTCCAATTTCCTTCAATCGTGCATATTCTATTCGAATACCACGCATTATAACTTATGTCTCAACTCATCATCTCTGCATACGTGTTGTTGTATATTGTCGTGCGATGCTCGGTAGTTGTGTAGGATTCGTTCGTGGAAGATTATTTCGTTAAAAGTGCCGTTAAAGCTCGTGGTATATGTGTTCTGTTTCTTGTGTAATCAGAGGGTGTAGCATCAGTTTTTTGTTGAAGCTTCGTGAATGGTGCTGAATAAACTCATTCAGTAGGTAGTGTGTTTGAATGGGCAAGTTTACCTACGGAGGAAATTTCTACTTGCGCAGTATTCGCTGATGTGTGGTTGATGAAATATCTTTTAATTTTAGCGGGATATGTTGAGCTGCATTTACCATAGCTATTTCTCTACCAACAATCAAGAAAATAGACTCGTACAAACGAATATCTTTTTTATCGTCTATGCAGTCAGCTATACAGTGTGTCTGTATGTATATGTATTTATACATAGAGTTCCATTTCAGTGTGTAGTTACATGTCGATCAACTCTACTCACGCCAGCTTTTTACCAGTAAGTTGACAACTGATATGTATATATATATGTATATATATATATATATATATATATATATATATATATATATATATATATATTTTGTGTGTGCGTGTGTGTGTGTCTGTGTATGCGTGTATGTGTGTGTGTTTTCGTGTCTCTGTGTGTGTGTGTGCGTGTCTCTCTCTGTGTGTGTGTGTATGTGTGTGTGTGGTATATATATATATATATACGTGCATATATATATATACGTGCATATATATATTTATATATATGTATTTGTTTTTATATTCATATATGTATATATATATATATACATAAATAATCATATTTATAACACATATATATATATATATATATATATATATATATATATATATATATATATATATATATATATATATATATATATATATATATATATATATATATATATATATATATATATATATATATATATATATATAGTCATATATGTTTGTTTTGTGTGTTTTGTGTATAGCTGTATTTCACGCATACTCATCCTCGGGTTATATCAGGTATATTATTAATCAATTGGACAAATTGCATGGTGAGGAGTACGTCTTAGTCTACTTCCACACGGGTATGCATGCGTCGCACCGGCCACCTATGGAGTGGTTCTACAGGGCATGGGACACCATCAGCCGCACGTAAGTATTCATCCGAGTCATTTCGGTACCATTTATTTCGGTGTTTTTCATGGTTTTGTTTGATATCATTCCATTCGTCATTTGTAAATTTTGCTATTGTGTTTTGAACATACAGCTTACGTTCCAGCGTACTTATGCTTACTTTCTTATCTTCCCATTTCTCTTTCTTTAGACATCGTAAAAGCCTTCACCAAGCATTCGTCGTACATCCCACTTTCTGGTTCAAGATGGTGATGGGCATCGCGAGGACATTTGTCAGGTAATAGTATAGTTGGTTTCCCTATTTCATGTGAAGTACGAGATCAGATCGACATTACCGATAGACAACAAAATCATCTTATTGTACGAGCTAGGTTTATACTCCCGAGTTGTTGTATGTAGATATATATATATACAAATGTAAGTGCATATATGTAATGTATATATATATATATGTATTCGTATTTGTATACGTATAATTATACTTATGCGTATGCGTATATATATGTATGTTCGTATATATATGTGTGTTTGTACATATATACATACACACATATATATATATATATATATATTTATGTTATATATATATATCCGATTTTAGGGTTTAGGGTTTAAAACCCTAAAACCCTAAAACATATAATTAAATGTATATATACATACAGATATATATATATAGTACACACATATATATATGTGTGTAGTAGACATTATATATATATATATTGTGATTCTATCCTAGCCTAAGATAATTTAAACACTGAGGTTTGTGCTAGAGACAAACTTCTTTTAATCAGTTGTTATAAGACAGTGGTCTACTGGCACTGGCCTCAAAATTTTCACAGTGTTTTACCTTGTGACATTTTCTGTGTTCTCAAAATTTGAGATTACGCGGCCAGGCCATAAAACCCTGAACCCTAGACTCGGTTTGGGATAGGCTCCTGAGCCAATCACAATATATATATATATATTTGTTTTTATATAGCAGACATATTATATATATATATATATATGTATGTATGTATATATATGTATATGTTTATGTATATATATATATATGTGTGTGTGTGTGTGTGTATGTATATGTATATATATATATATTATATAATTATGTATATATATATGTATATATGTATGTATTTGTGTGTGTGTGTGTGTGTTTACGTACTTAGTGATATGATAATACATGTATCCGTTTGGTTATTGGTTGTTTCAATCGTTTAGCTTTGTCTAATATCCATGTGTCTCCTCCATTTCATTTCTCTGTCTATTCACCTTCGACTACCGTCCCTCGGTGTTTTCGTGGTGTTGGTAAGCTGCCAGTCCTTTGGGAAATACAGTGCACGTGGTGACCAATATTACCAATTTAACGAGTTAAACATTTACGTGCACTCTGATTTAATCACCTTCTTCCAACACGCATACATACAGTGTGAAGGTCTGGGACAAAATCGAGTATATAGAAAACCTGGCGGAGCTCGTGAAATTCATACCGTATGATGAGATTGATGTTCCGGCTCTGGTGAAGCACTATGACAAAACTCGCAACTACGACTATGATGCAGATAAAAGAGAGTAAGCGCTATGTTCTGATCACTGAGGATTAGACGCTATTTTCTCACATGTTCGTGTACCTATAGTCTTATACCTTGATACCTATCTGCAGATTAGTTCGTTAAGTGTTTGGGTCTGTACTTTCGTCAAATCTTGTTTTCAGTTCAGAATCAGAACTCCCACATATGGGACTGGGATGTTTGATTGGGGCGTTGTCACTCTTGTCACAATGTACATGTTGTAGTTTGGATCTGTGCCAGCCTGTACGACATCAAGTGTGTGAGCAAATGCGAATTATACTCAAGCGCGTTCAAATACACACTCACTCCTACGCTATTATTATGGGTGATCTTAGTAGCTTGTCGATGTTACAGATAATAGGTAGAGACCTTAGAGGAACAACTTGTGCATTGCAAAAAATGGAATAGAACCATGCCACACTGATATAGGTGAGATCCTCTGTCGTTTGCTAAGGTGACAGGAATGGCTCACTCCAACCTCATCTCATCCATTGCAATTTGTTGTAGATTTGCACAGTTCGGAGTGCCGCTAGCGGAACTCGTTGATGAGTCGCGGCCCATTCCACTGGTAATGACTGTGACAGCTGAAGCGGTACGAGAAACGGGGTTAGAAGTCGAAGGGATATTTAGAAAATCGGGTGGGCTCAGGAGAATCAACCTGTTTAAGGAACGATTCAACCAGGGTGTGTTTTGAAGTGAATATCGTGGTGAATTTGGTAGTGTTTGGGATGTTCTTACACACTTCTCTTCTCTTCGTTTGGTATGTTTTGAAGTGAATATCGTGGTGAATTTGGTAGTGTTTGGGATTTTCTTACACACTTCTCTTCCCTTCATTTGGCATTGAGTTGCTCGGACGCGGCTCTTTTTTGGATCGATCTCTCCTTTCTTTCGCTATAATTGGGTCGCTTTCGGTTATTGTGCTTTTGCTTATTACATGCGACTCCAAAACAATTTCAGGTCATACTGTCAGGTTCTTGGAAGAAGACGCTATCGTTGCTGCCAATCTATACAAGATGTTTCTGAGAGAACTACCCGAGCCCTTAATACCACAACAAATATATGAATATCTCACCACATTAACAGGTATGGTTTCAAGTGCCAGTTACACTTCACCGGCATTGCTATCAACTCACCATCCGCACGTTACGATTATATACAGATGTTAGTCTGTGTGTAGTGGATCATGTTACGATCATATACAAGTGTTAGTCTGTGTGTAGTGTGTCATGTTACGATTATATACAGATGTTATTCTGTGTGTAGTGGGTCATGTTACGATTATATACAGATGTTGTTCTGTGTGTAGTGGATCATGTTACAATTATATACAGATGTTAGTCTGTGTGTAGTGGATCATGTTACGATTATATACAGATGTTAGTGAAGGTGCTATTTGTGAAGGGTGCTATTTTTTTTACTTTTGTGAAGGTGCTATTTTGATTTTATAAGATGTTGTGATTATATAAGGGGGTATTGTGATTAAATGAGCTGTATTAGTGCATGGCTTCGATGCTATTATCTAGTAATGTTCGATCTTTCGTACGTGCCTGATAGCATTTCTCTACTATCACACGAACGTTTTGGCCTTTGATGTCACTTGTAGAAACGCGTGCTTTAGTTAATTTCCCGCGGTTAGAGGTGACTTTGTTGTCACTTTTTTGTGTTCCTATGTCACTAGTCATCGGTTTGTTGTTGTGCTGTCAACCACAGGCGATCATATGACTGTCCCTGTCACATGACGGAGTCGTATCGTCACACATTGGTATGCCTGATCACGACACACTGGTAGCAAAATATCCTTTATATATATATTGTTTGTAGGTAGATTTTCTTGTTATTGATTTGCGTGACTTCGCTGGTACGATTATATATATACATATATATATGAGGATGGAATATGTCTCCAAATTATGTTGTCGCTGCATACCACTATGGTATGAGTTTATTTCTGTACAGTTGAATTCATGCTCTATGTATATATGTCCTTGTTACGTAGTAGCGATGCATCTGACTGTCTTACATTGGCTTAAACTTCTTGTATGTTTCTCGTCAGCACTCCCTTTAGTGTTGGAGTTTTCGTGTTCGTGTTCATACGCACTCTGCTGCGTATATTAAGCATGTTGCAAGAGTATTTTTGCTTCTATTTTCTTTTCTCTTAAACTTGAACGCTCTCTATTAATCGGTTGTGGTATAAGTTTGCCTTCAATCAACATTATGTGAATCGTCTCCCCAATTTTCGCTCCACAACTATAACTACAGTCCCTTATTCGGGTACCAAATGTATACAAATCCCTAAACAAAACATATGACTCATGGCAATACTCTCGCGATGCCCACCCTGACTACGCACGGAATGTGGCTGTCGTAGATTTAGAAGAAAGTCAATACGAATACGGGGCAGCGCAGATCCTGAGCCGACTACCCGAGGTCAACCGCCTGTGTCTAGAGCATGTGGTTTTTTTGGCCCAAGATGTGGCCGTCTACTCCGACATTAATATGATGACCGTTACCAACCTCGCTATTGTGTTCGGTCCCAATCTCGGGGGCCCTGCGGATATGGTGAGTATTCGCCGTATGGTTAATAATATCGTTGTGTAGTGAAAATGCTAATTATGGTGTATCCTCAACTTAAATCGAAGGCTTCACTGCAGTTTACTGACGAACACGTTATTAGCCTTTACACTGTGTGGCATCACTAGGGCGAATACGAGTCCCCGTTGCTCTATTCTGTATATCTGCTAAATTCCACCCCAGCACATCATAACGCTATCCTTTGTACTTCATCACAGGCGGGCTCCATGAAGGCTCTCTCACATCTTACGAGGTTTACTAAGTATATATTCAGCCAGAAAGCAGCTTCGTCCTTCTCTCAGAGGAGGCGGATAGGTGATCGAAACGCATTGTCTCGGAAAGGGGCGGTATTCGAGAGGAAACAGAACACCAGTTAATACATTAAAGGGAATACTACATACTAACATTCAGATTCTCAGACACATACCCTATCGCAGATTCGTAGACTCCTTATTTACACACCATGGTGATCGGGGACCGTGGAATTATGTTGGTGGCTAAACACAGAGAAGAACTACAAGCATCTCGCGAAGGCATGAACTCTATGCATAACTAACCATGTGACCAATAATCAGCTGACTTTATCTTGGAAGTCAGCGTGTTGACCTTTATATATATATATATATATATATATATCGGGGTTGCCATCCTTACCCACTTTCCTGTGTAATTATTGAAAATCTACATCTTATTAGTTTTAAACTTTGTACTGAACATTCCAGTCACTACATTTACCGCGAACCAATGACAATAAATTCACGACATCTTTAGTTATTGTCGTATAGTCCTGAGTACTGATAGTGTACGCTTGGCAGTCCCTCACAACGGTTATCAAAATATTTACTTTTGTCTGTCACGATGAATGTGTCCCGCAGAAATCGGAGACACCTTTTCCCTCATTTGCCGGCCCCCTTTAAGTCTCCGCTCTCTACTCTATAGTGGAACAGGATGATTTCCCTAGAAGTTTCTGTTTACATATGTAGGATTGCTTTTTTTATTCCTTCACAAATCTCTAAGATTGCTTTCTCTTTTTAACCCAAGTTGGAATTTATTCTCAAAACTTTTGCCAAAGCGAATTGAACTAAAAATCATCAAATATTTACAATTATATTTATGTATGTCGATGTGTACACGTGAATAGGCATGTGTGGTATGACAATAGGTATGTGTATGTGTGTGTGTATGAACAGGCGCGCGTATGTATGTGTACATGAATATGTACGTGTATGTGCGTGAGTGTGAGTAGGCATGTATATGTATGCGATAATAGGTATGTATAAGCGTATGTGTATGTGTGAACAAGTGTGTGCGAGTATGTGCATATATGTGTGATATGTGTGAATAGACATGTATATGTATATGTGGATAGGTATGTGTATCTGTATTTCGATAAGCATGTGTACGGAGTATGTGCATTGGTATCTGTATGTGTATTATATATGAACAGCCACCTGTGTGAATATGTTAATCGGTATGTGTATGGGTATGTGAACAGGCATGTGTATGTGTACACGTGTGTGAATAGGAATGTTTACGTGTACGTGGATAGGTATGTACATGTGTATGTGTATGAATTGGAATGCGTATGTGTATGTGATTAAATATAAGTAAGTGTATGTGTGTGACTATGAATGCGTATGTGTATGTGATTAAATATATGTAAGTGTATGTGTGTGACTATGAATGCGTATATGTATGTGTATGTGTATGTGGATGGGTATGTGGATTAACAATGCCATCAACGAACGGAACATGAAAGTTTTGCACTCTTTAGGGAATAGGCTTTCAAGACTGCACTTGCCGGGTACTCGTTCAGTTACTACACTACTTACAAGTGATGACGGTATACGCGAAGCATTGCATACTATACTTGAAGAGGTTGTGCGTGCGACTAGACATTCTATTTAAATGGCTCACGCAAGCGGAAAGAGCTGAGACTCCACAATTCTTTAATCAGTACATTAATCAACAATCAGGACGTTGATATAATGAAGCATTCTATGTGATAAACATACGTGGTCGTTTGCCCTTCTTGTTATAATTTATCTAAAAAGGCATATAATATAGAAATTTTTGAACAAAGTACTTGTGCATACATATCTACATGCTCTCGGAGGATACGGATTCGTTTGGCCTTCCAGTCATGTGCATCGAACTGCCGGGTTGTCCCATAGACATGGCGCTGCTTCGATTGACAACACTGCCGTACTGCTCCTCCCTTTTCTTGTTTTGTTTCTTGCGATACACAATCACGCCCGCAACGCAGCAGCAGCAGCAGCAGCAGCACAACAGCAACAGCAGACCGATAAAAGCAGCCGTCATCATACCACTTCCTTCTTCTTCGTTGGCAGAAGATGCACCGGCGTTGCCGCCAGTGTTGACAAGCTTGGGGAAGTCTTTCTCATTGTATATGACACCAGCCGGCGCGTCAACATTAGCCTCGCCAGACTCTCTACGCTCCATGTCATTCTGCGTCAAGTCCGGGAAGTTTTGTCCTCCCACTTCACGACGTCGTCGTCGTCCGGAGTTATCCATGTAATCACCAAGAACGGTAAAGTTGAATTCCAAGCTTGAACCCTCACGGTCGGATGTAGCGCATGCCATGTTTACTGTTACTAACATAGGGAAATTTATATCAGCAGCGGGGAATGTCAAAGGACCGTAACTAACAAAGGTTTGATCTAGATTCGCTGGAGTAACTGCGATGTCGTCTCCGAACCACTGGAAACCGGAGCAGTCCACATTCGATGAGGTACGCACAATCTTGATAATCTCGGCATAATCAAAACCAACACCTGACTCGTTGGTCCAGAGGTGAATGGTCCAGTATGACATGTCTCCAAGTGAGAAAATATCGTTAGGACGAATACCAGTGTAGCCATCGGTAGGCGCGGTATCGGGGCGAAGAGTAATTGTAGGAGTGAAAAGAGCCTCAAGCTGGAACATATCGTCACAAAGATCGTTAGAATCAACCGCGAAATATAGATCAGCATCGCCGAGGATTTGTGGACACTCCAAATCGTTTCCACTGCTGTCCTTTTCAATACATTCAAAGTTCAGTCCGAATATATAAAAAAGTCCGGACAAATCACAAGCTGTAATATCGAAAGCGATACTTTGGACACAAAGCTCATCCAAATCTAGGGCCGTACAGGACTCAGTAACTCTCCACGCACTGGTGACCATCTCGCCATCGTCGGTTTGATTGAATAGAACCTCCCCAGAAGCTGATCCGGAGACCGTGTAGGGAGAGGGAACGTTGATTTGCAGAACAATAGTGGACTCATTCTCACTAATCGCCATTACATCTACAGATGTAATCGCGGCTTCAAGCTCAGCATAAGGCCACTTAGGTTCAATAGTTGCGGCGATATTAGCCACTCGGTCAATCTCAATTTTGAGATGGGTCATTGCAGTACCAGTACGGTTGACGGGGACACGCAGTGCTGATTCATCGTCAATCATGGTAACGTACTCATCGGACCAGATTTTGAGATCAGACTCGTATGAACTCATTGTAGGGTAGTCAGTTTCCACAACACCGCAGGCTGCAAAATTAGACATGAGAACAGAAAATCCAAGGTCCGCCCTGCAATTGGATAGTATATCTATGAAAGGGGCGATTAGCTTACCTCCCTCATAGTTGCAATCATCAAACATTATATCCTTCAGGACACGAGTGTTGAACATGTTACCAATAGTGCCTACGACATTTAGTGCACCTTCCGTGACACCCATTTTCATTGTACCGGCAGTGTTGTATGTTATCGGAGGGAAAAGTATGTACTCAAATTCAGCCGTTAACGCAATGGGTTCGGTCAATCCACACTGCACGCCTGCGCTGTCCTCAATTTTAACATCTTCCAATGAGAACTCTGCCAGACCATTAATAGAGAACAAAACAGGTGTAGTAGCTTGCAGTACAGCCATGTTGGAGGGGTCTGATGATCTTATCAGGAGTCCCTTATTGATTTGAATTGCAGCTGCCTCTGAATAAGTTCCAGACGCTAGAACTAAAACGTCGCCTTCAGCAGCCGCATCGATGGCAGCTGATAGCGAGTTGGCACCAGGTGAAACTGCAACATCAGCAGCAGTTACCACTGCTGCAGCCGCCGCAACCTTGAAGAAGTGACTCAACATGATCCTGATTATAGTATAGTGCTTAGTTATTACTGTATTCGGATATAGTTGAATTCAAACTAATGATCAGACCTCTAGTTGTACAAACGAATAATAAATGTATTGAAATTATTTATTTATTTATTTTGCTGAATTTTAAATTTGTATTCCTCTGAGTCGTCTTTCGCCCTCTAGAGAGAGCTAGAAATTCCGACATACATTGGAATGCACACATCCTTATCAGAAATATCAAATATGAGAGTATTTTCAATTTTGTCGAGGCTTTTTAGCTCGCATTCATTTTCAGTGGCTAGTCTTCCCTAAAACCAAACAGAGGGTTATGCACGGACTCAATGTTATAATTGATTTATGTTTTTTAAAAACAAATCGCTTTGCGACTTGTGACTTGTGCCTTGTGACTGTGAGTTGTGACTACTGAGTTGTGAGTTCTGAAGTGAACAAGTTTGTTTAGAAATAAAACCAAATTTATTTATTTTATACACAAGTATATTAAAAAAAACAAAGTAAAATAGTAAAGCAATTAGTTATTCCGATACATGTTTTAAAAATACTACTTACTACCTTGATGGGTCAGGGACCTTCTCGCCCTCGAGTAGAGAGAAGTGAAAATTTCAACAACAAAAAAAATATTATTTAATAATGGCTGGTCGGTGATTTTTTTTTAATAGATTTTTGTGTTTTATTGCTGTTCTTTTTAAAAAACAATATACAATACACGTTTAAACCCGGCATTTGTTCTGGGCATTTTCCGGTCTGAGTCTGTCAGTGACTTTTTTTTTTAAAAGAATAAGTACACTCAGTACACAACACAAATATTATATTTTTTGAAAATTCTAACCTACTCCTGATATCTTCACTGGTTTTCTATTGGTAGTATAGTTAAAAGTATGTTAAAAAATCAAGAAGGAGGATTGTAGGAAGGCCCGGAAATCGGGATTACTGTTTTATTATATAAATAAACAACCCCATTAGTAAAAAAAAATGTTCCTCAATCCGTTATTTAAAGTTGAACGTAAACACACTTTTATTCTAGAGACAATTCCACAGGGCTCAGGCCCGGCCTCAAGGCCTCAGTCCTTAGAGGGCTTAGGCCTACTGTCAGAGCCATGTTTCTGCGACCTGCGCACTATCCGCTACTTATTTTTTCAAAAACTCTGCAAGATATTTTGGCGCGCCATTTTCGTGTCTGCCAACGGGAATATCGTTCATAGAGGTAACTCCTAAGTATGTATCTATATATATTTAAATATTTATGTCTGTCGGTTAGGATCACTTTTACACAGTAATCCATTAACGTCAGCAGTCAGCAGTCAGCACCTCTCAGGCTCTCCGACGCCTATCGATATCATATATTTACTACCGGGTGCAACTCGCACTCTTGCTACCATCCATAAGTATGTAAACGTAGACTATTTAGATCATATGTAGAGATACATGTGTATATAAATACATACGCACGTGTGGCATTAAATACTGTTTGGCACATGGGTATAGCGTAATTCCTGAAAAATATACTGTGACGATATAAATTTATGGAGTATATAATTCAGTATATATTTATATATATATATATATATATATATATGTATATATATATATATATATTATTTATATATATATAATATATGTGTGTG